GTCGTGTTGGCGCCTTCCTCTCAGATGGTACCTGGGTCGAGGTGCCAGTATTTGCCGGTGTGCCTCAAGGTTCCGTTCTTGGTCCTTTACTGTGGATCCTTGCCTATGATGGAGTGCTGGACGTATCTCTTCCCGGTGGCGCTATTACCGTAGGTTTCGCGGATGATATGGCTTTAGTGATTGTCGCTCGCTCCCTTACTAGGTTACGAGCTCTTGCCGAGGAATGTCTTACCATCTTAGGAGCCTGGTATGCCTCCCAAGGTCTAGTGTTGGCCACGCACAAAACCGAGGCAGTCCTTCTTACCGGTCGTCGCGTTCCTCAGGGTCCCTGATTCACGGCTCAAATTCCATCCGCACTTCTCCTTTTGTCCGCTATCTCGGCGTGCTTTTTGGCAACAGTCGCCTTTACCGACATCACATAGACAAGGTTTGTACCAAAGCTCTGGCTGTTGCCAAACGCTTGTCTTACCTTATCCCAAACCTACATGGTTGCGGTTTTACAGGTCGCTTGTTATATTATCGTGTAGTAGAGTCCATTGTTTTGTATGGCGCCCCCGTTTGGTTTGAGGCCGTGAATTACTCCTACATCCTTGGCCGTCTCAATTCCACACAACGCGTTGGGCTTTTGCGCATTTGTCGTGCCTATCGTACCGTGTCAACCCTATCTTACCTCCTCCCAAACCTACATGGTTGCGGTTTTACAAGTCGCTTGTTATATTATCGCGTAGTAGAGTCCATTGTTTTGTATGGCGCCCTTGTTTGGTTTGAGGCCGTGAATTACTCCTACATCCTTGGCCGTCTCAACTCCACACAGCGCGTTGGACTTTTGCGCATTTATCGTGCCTATCGTACCGTATCAACCAATGTTTTATGTGTTTTATCTGGTTGTACTCCTTGGGAGTTTCTTGTGCACTTTCGTACCATTTGTTTTGAGCTCGATCCTCTTTCGGACGGCGTAGATGCTCCTCGTTCGATCGAGGATTGGCAGTCTGCCTGGAATAGCTGTCCTAATGGTGAGTGGACTCGTCGGCTTATCCCTGACCTTCACTTCTGGATTGAATCAGGTGGTCCTCGTATTCTGAATTTTCATTTAACCCAGGTCTTAACCGGTCATGGCTGCTTCGTCAGCTATCTTCATCGCATCGGCCGCACTTCTTCTCCTAGTTGCTGGTTAATCGGCCGAACTTCTTCTCCTAATTGCTGGTTTTGCTCTTCCGACATCCCGGATGATGCAGAACATTCTCTTTTCTCTTGCGCTTGTTGGGAGTCCAAACGTTCTTCTTTGTATAGTGTCGTTGGTCCTCTTTTTCCTTCGAATTTTGTTTCAGTTTCAACTCCTGGGTAATGACGCCCATCGCCGTGCTATTCTTCATTTCGTGAGGTATGTAATGTTAGTAAAGGAGCAGGTAGAACGCTCCCTAGACAATCTTTCGTCACACTAACGTTCGTCTCTTACTGCTTCTCCTTTGCGTTTGTGTGACCTTGTTTGCGCTGTGTATTAGGTGTTTTGCGTTGTTTGGTGTGTTGCGTGTTGTTGTGGTGCATAGCTGTAGTGTGTGTGTTTGTTTGTGTGTGTTTGTATGTCTGTGTACTAGTCTCTATTACTTGTGTGATGCGTACTCGTTTGGTTTGCCTTGTCAGCCTGGGGTGGGGTGGGGCTACTTTTATAGTCATGCTGATCCGCTTTGCCGTTTCCATGCTTCATCAGTTCTCCATTTCGCCCAGCAAAGCAAGCTAAGTATTCCATTTATCTCCGTTTGTATCTTGCGCTTAGTTTTGCACCGTTTCCAGTTTGATTAACTTCTGTCTTGCCTCTTTCATTTTCAGGGGGAGAGATCTGCTGCTGTTGCATCCTCGTCGTCATCTTCGCACATCGTTATTTGGTCTCACCGTGGTGTCGTTGGTCCTCTTTCCCCTTCGAATTTTGTTTCAGTACTCCTAGGTGATGACTCCCATCGTCGTGCTATTCTTCATTTCATAAGGTACGTGATGTTGGTAAAAGAGCAGGTGGAGCGTTCCCTGGACAATCTTTTGTCACACTAACGCTCTTCTCTTACTGCTTCTCCTTTGTTTTGTGTGATCTCGTTTGCGCTGCGCATTAGGTTTTAATTGCTGTGTTGCGTGTTGTTGTGGTGTGTAGCTGTAGCGTGTGTGTTTGCTTGTATGTGTATGTATATTAGTATGCCTGTGTGTGTAGTGTAGTGTAGTATGTCTGTGTACTGGTCTCTGTTATTTGTGCGATGCGTACTACTTGTGCAATGCGTGCTTGCTTGATCTCCTTATCATCCTGAGGTTATATGGTTGTATTGTGCTATGTCGCTCTTTTCTACTTATATTTATATTTGCATAGCCTTCTTTTATGATCATGCTGCTCCGTTTTACCGTTTACATGCTTCATCAGCTCTTCCTTTTGCCCAGTAAAGCAAGCTAAGTATTTCGTTTATTTCCGCTTATATCTTGCGCTTCACTTTGCACCGCTTCCATTTTAACTTCTGTCTTGCCTTTTCATTTCCAGGGGAGAAGATCTACTGCTGCTGCATCCTTATCGTCATCTTTGTGCATCGTTGTTTGGTCTCGCCGTCCTATCTTCGCCACTCCTCCAGATACTTCACGATGTCTTGGTACCGCTTCCTGTCTGCTTTCATTTGGCTCTCTGCTATTTGCTATTTAACTAAGCGTTGGTCTCCTAGCTTTCTTGCGTCTCTCTCTCCCATATGTTCGCCCTGTGAGGCTGGTAAGCTGTGAGCTAAAAAGCTTGAAAATTTCAAAATATTATATTTCCAACTAAGGACCATGCTTAATCTCATTTTTCTTATTTTCAGATGTCTTCGGCTCAGATTTTTCCCTGATGATGCTGCTTGCCTGTTATGCTCCGTCCTGTCTTCTGCCTACGTTGCCACCGTCCGTTTGCGCCTCCGTTTCACCCTGCATAGCTTTGTTGCGCCGCTCATTCTCCATTACCTAATCTTTGCTAATACTACCATGTGATACCTGCCCCATGCACCCCTTGCCTTCATGCAAATTTACGCCCGCATGCACCTCGTGTCTATTTTATCTATTTTAATTCTTAAATCCGATGTTTGCGATATAGTTAAGCCTTTATGTTCCAAGTTTAGTTAAGTCGTTAATTTAATTTAAGTCGTCGTATCGTGTTAGACAGTGACATTTATCGTTGTGAGTGCCTATTTCAATAATTTATTAATTTAACTCGCTTTATTACGTTGTGTTATCATTTGGGAGTCAAATAATGCCTTAAGAAACCTAGTTGATTTCTCTCCGTAGACACTACGTCGTTGCTACTATTGTTGCCGCTGACTTTGTTTCCGCTAGCTTATTATTTCGCCTACTCTGGATTGTGAATTGTGAATTGCGAATTGTTATTCGCGTCTGCTGGTTCTGGTTGGAATCTTACCTAAGTTGCATCCGCACTTAATAGAATTAGGTTAGTTTTAACCTGCTCTCCTAACGTTTAAGCTAGTTGCTTGTTTGCTTAATTTATTTATTTATTTAGTTCATTAGTTTATTAGATTCATTAGTTCGATTTTGTTTATCTGCTTTGATTGGTTTGGTTAGTTTTGCTATTGCCTCGCGTTTAATCTGTAAGGTTAACTACGCGTGTTATTCTATGCCGCGTTATCTTTGTTTATACTGGAACTTTGCTTATACTGGAAGTTTGCGGCTCCTTGCCGCCAGTTAAGCTGCGGATAATTCTGTGGATAATGGATAATTTATAATTTATAGTTTAATGTCCTAGTCAGGCTTTGTTAACTTTAACTTAGTCTGTGCTAACTTTAATTAAGTCAGTCCTGAGATTAAATTTAATTTAATTTAACTTCGGATTTGAGTTCGCTTAGCCATCCTATGTTCTGGTTTCCTTGCCTGATTAATGCTGATTTGTACTGATTACTACTTATACTTTGTGCTTGTTTGTTGTTTATAATGATTCATGTGCTTGTATTACACCATACTCTGTGCGTGTGAATGATAATAGATTTTAATAGATTGCCTTGTATTGTGTTGTATAATGTATAATGTATAGTGTCAAGGGATTTACTTAAAATGCCTGATTTTAATTGAGTAATTGGTTTGCCTTTAGATTGTGTTGTGTTCCTATCCGAGCCTATATTCCAATTTATTAATTCTAAGTTTGATTTTAATTTAATGCGATTTCGAGTTTAACGCTAAGTTTATATTTATATTTATACCTTATATTCGTGTTAGTCTACTAATTTCAAATTTCAAATTTCAAATTTATGCCCACGTTTAGACCTTGAACTTGAAGTCTGCCTCTCGAATTTTAAATTTATAAGTTTCGTAAATTTAGGAATTTTAGGAATTTAAGTCCGAATCCATTCAAGTCTAAATTTATGTCTAGGTCTGAATTTCTGTTTCTGCGTGGCTTATTATTTGTCGCGTGTTGCGCTGCGCCTGTTTTGCATGGTGAGATAGTTAAGTTGAGATAATGTCAATATGAGGTAGTAAAGTGCTGAGTATGAGGTAATAAGAAGGCTGAGATGAAGTGGATAGGGTGGATAAGGTAATGCGTCTGTCTTGTCCTTTGTTGTTTAAATCGTTCGTCTATTAATTAGTACAATAACACCTAGCTTACTCACTACTTAATTAATTAATTAATTAGTTTATGTACCTGTACAATATTTCTTATTTCTAACCTATTGTCTACTTATTTTGTTTAAATTACATTATGTTTAACTTGTTTGATTGATCCTTTCTATTAACTTATTAATCTATCTCGCTGCTTATTCTAGTTTTAATTAATTAATTTAATTTAACTTAGTTTAGTTTTAATTTTCCTTTTCCTCATTTCGCCAGTCCGTCCACTACCCTTGGTTGCTCCGCATCCTCACCAAGGATCCTTGCTGGTTCCGGGTTTGGGCTGCCGTTTCTCGTTCCCTCTCCAGTTGGTCGATTTTCCGCTATTTTCGCGCGCTTCGCTTCCTTTTGTCCTATCTTTTCCTCTCGCGCTCTCTTCCTGTTTTCTTCTTGGAAAGAAAGGTCTGAGCTCCTGCCACTTGGTCCTCAGACTTTTCTCCTGCGTGAGCCGCTTCGCTGCCATTCTTGTGCACTCAAGAAAGGCGGTGCGGTGACAAGTTCCCTGTCTGCCCCCTATGTGTTTGAAGCAAATCTCTCCTTTTTCCACCAACTCTTCTAACCCGCCTTTCTTGAGTGCTTCCATGAGCTCGTCTTTTTCTAAGTCCGGGTCGGAGACTTTGATCGCCACCTCAACCCTATCCGTGTGGATCTGCGCTTTCCACTTACCATTACCCTCCCTGTTTATTGCTTCAGCGCACTCCTTGCCCGTGTTTGCGCTGCCCTCCTTGCCTCTTTGTAGGATAATGATAATGTCTCCTTTCCTGGTTTCCCTGATCTCCTTGAGTCCTTCCGTGAAGGTGTGTATTTTTGTTTTAAGTCATCTGATGGCACTCCAGTAATCTACCTCCTCTCTCGGGTATTGTACCATGATGACCACATCGCTCCTGTTTCCATCACCCCTTTTGTCCTTGGTCCACCCTTCTTTCCTTGGTAACTCCTCGTTTCTTGTCTCCTCCCGCCTTTCTTTCGTGCCTGTCCTCGCCCTGTCTTTGTTCCCTCCGTTTTCGCCTCCGTTTTTTCCCTCGTCGGCTTGACTCCCTTCTCCGCTACTCTTCTGCTCCTTGCGTTTCTCTTCCATCCTTCTTTTCTCTTCCCTTACCTTCTTCACTATTCTCAAAATTTCGTGCTCCTCTTCGTCCTGTCCGCTCCCTGCTTCGTCTCCTTCTTTCTTCCCCTCCTTTTGGCTCTGCTGTCCTTCGCTCTTCTTGTTCCCGTTCTTTCCTCCATTTCTTCCTTCCTCCCCTGCTAGTCGGGCCAGCTTAACTACTGGTTGCAGCTTCAAATCTTCACTTTTAGCACCGACTATTCTGTCCTCTAAGACCAGCGGCAGCTTCCTTTTTGCCTTACCTTGCTCGCCTTTTCCCCTTTTCGTTTCTTCGTACTCGCTCGTTTGCGGCGTTGAGCTTCCTATAGGCTCTGTCCAGCCTTGGTTGAATTCATCCTCCCATTCCACGCCAGCTTGACTACTGGTTGCAGCTTCAAGTCTTCACTCTTAGCGCCGACTATTTTATCCTCTACGACCAGCGGCAACTTCCTTTTCGCCTTACCCTGCTCGCCTTTTCCCTTTTTTGCTTCTTTGTACTCGCCCGTTTGCGGCGTTGAGCTTCCTGCAGGCTCTGGCCATCCTTGGCTGAGCTCATCCTCCCATTCCATGTCCTCTTCCAATTCGCACATGGAGGCTTCCGCTGCCTCGACCACCTCCATTAGAGCAAGCTCTTCCTCCTCTTCCCGCTTGTCTTCGTGTCTTCTTCCCTTTTTTGATTCTCCAGCTGAACCCTCGGCCCGCTCCACTTCCCTTTTCCTGCTGTGTCCTTTGTTGTTATTCGCCTTGCCGTTTTCGCTTTTCTTCGTCTCCTCCTCTGCACGTTTCTCCCTGCTTGTCTTTTCCTCTATGTTGCGGACCGCCTCCCTCAGTAGCTTATTGATGTCCTCCGATGTGATCTTACCTCCCTTATACCCCTTGATGCTTTCCATTCTGCATTTGGATTGGAAATTGGAAAATTGAAAATTTGAGAATCGAGAATTGAAGAAAAAAATTTTAAAATTGTAAATTGAAGGTTGATAATTTAATTTGAAGATAGAAGATTTGAAGATTTAAAGTTGTAAGTTGAATTTGAAGGAATTTAATTTAATTTAATTTAATTTAATTTTAATTTATTTAATTTTAATTTAGCTGAGTTCGCCTTATTTGTTCGGGCTTGGAATTATTAAATTATAATTAATAGGTTCATCCTCCTGATTTTATTTAAATTTAAATTTAGTCTAAATTTCATGTTTGAGTTTAGTTTCCCACATTTTGTTTGATCAATTTAAATTAAGATTAAATTTGGTTTAATTTAATTTAGTTCGATTAAACTTAACTTAAATTTCATTGAATTTGATTTAATTTGTTTGCCATGGATATATGTTTTATATGTTTTATATGTTTTATATGATTGTATTGTCTTGAATTGTGGTCTGAATATTGAACTGCGTCTCTAGGTTTAGATTTATAGCTTAAGCTGTGCTAGATTAGCTTAATTAAAATTAAATTAAATTAAATCAAGTTTAGATTGTTTAATTAGGAATTTTCACCGCTTTTTCTTGATTGCTTGCTGTAGCCTTGGCTTACTTTAGCCTGTTCTATTAATTATTAATTTGTCAAGTTATGTGATGTGCTATCTCATGTGCTAGGTTTCGAACTAATTTACTTTGACCCTTTCATTTAGCTATATCGTATCGTGCCTAATCAGGTCAATTCCTTAATTAAGAGCAATTTCAATTTAACTTGAGTTAGTTTAATCTATTTTATTTAGCTCTGTTCACTTCTAGTTTCCCTATATGCCGATGCTGATCTTGTATCAACTTACCTTGCCTAGATTCCTTTAACTGTAATTTCGCTTAATCCCAAACTTATTCACTACTTCAACTGTCGCTCACTACTATCATTACTCTCACTGCTGCTTCTAATACTACTCTCTTCCTTGCCTGCTCCCTGAATGATTTCGTTTTGTCGCTTGGTCTCCTTGTTACCTACACTTGTGACTTCCCTCTCTTTGCCTTGTACTCTTCTTCCTCTGTCTCTCCCTTCTTCTTCCTCCATCTATCCCGTCTTTCCTTCTCGCTTGCCCTTTTTCTACCTTCTTCCTTGTCATTTACCTGCCCGATGCGTCCTTTCGCCCAGCGCTTATTCAAATTCGAGTTCCCGAGATTTGGTTTGGTTTTGATTTTGCATTTTGCTCACTTGCATGCTGAGTTTGATTCCTTGTTTGTGATTTGGTTGGCTGACCTCTGTCTGTTTGTCACCTACTCCCTTGATTTTGCTCCTCCATTGCGTGTGCGCTCCTGTTCTCAGTCCACTGCGTTTTCGTTTTATTCTTGTCGTCTTGTTGTTAACCATTTTCAACATTTCGCGTCTTGTATGCTGCCGGGCTAATACGCACGTGCACTTCACTAGCTAGATTTACTTAGGGTGATTCCCTTTAAATTTAAATTTAAATTTAAATATAACTATAGATTTAAATTAAATTTAAATATAAATATAAATATTTAAATGGGTAGATGAATGAATGGATAATTAGATGATTAGATGATTGATGTATGGGCGACGTGAACAACGTTTAATTGCCGGTAAGTAGCATCCGTGCAGCTGAGCGAGTATGTACGTATACATGCACAAACTGTGCCATTTCACATACTGATGCACTATACGATAATATAACCCTGCATTATATTGTGCTATATGTTACAGTACCGTATCATATACGTGCGTGTTTTATATTTGTACTTTGTCGTTTTGTCGTTTCATTTTGTCACTTGTCACGCCAGATTGTTTGTCTAGGCTAGTTAGAATTTCATTTGTGCAATCGTGCAATCGTATGAGACTTATAAGATTAGTGAGTTCAAAATTTATATTTAAATTTCGAATATCTGGAAATTGAAAGTTTGAAAATTGAAACCTGGAGACTAAGGTCTGAGATTTATGCCTTTTGTGTCTTTTACGACATTGAAGGCTTGAATATTTGCGATTTGAAATTTGAAATTTGAAATTCGTGAAATTGTGTGATTGTGAAATTGTGTGATCGCGTTGAGTTAAATTTCTTTGGTTGAGTTTGATTTGGTTTGATTTGGTTGAGTTTTGAGTTTATGCTGCTTGCCGTGGATAATGATTGCCTGTAATTTCTTTCCCTATTTCCGTCCATCTCTTCCTGCTGTGAGTTGTTGCAAATTTACAAATCTAGAATTGTTTTTCTTCTCCCTCATGGATTTTCCTTAAGTCTTGACTCTTGCCTTGCAGTCCTGATTTCCTTCCCTCTTGTCCCAATGACTCCTTGTTTCATCACTTCTGCTTTTACTCTTCCGCCATTGCCTAAGGTGGTTTGTTTGTACGCCCCGCCTGTTGTGCTCTTTCAAAGGTTCGCGTCCTCCATGCCTTCCAACCGCCTGCGAACCGTTTCCTCTACCTTTCCCATTGGTTGGATTCTCGATACGTGCCATGCTCACTCCTCCCTGTTTCCCTCGTTTTACCCCTGTCCTTCTCTACAATGGCGCCTGTTTGCCCCGCCTCCCCAGGTTTCCTGTGTACGTTCCTGTTCCTTCGTTCCTCTCTGTCGGCTTGCTTACTCTCCTCCGGTCCCTACCTTCCTTGACCGCCTATAATATCTGTCGTTCGGTTCTTCTGCTCGCTATTGTGTTCCGTTTTCCTTTCTTCTCGGTAGGTCATCTAACAGTTACCCGTGTTTTAGGTCTGTCCTGCCTCGATGTTTACTGTTTTATTGGCTACTAAAGCAAGGTTTGCCATCTGTGCGCCTGCCGTTCCTTACTCACTGATTCCTTATTGTTTCTAGCTTGCCGTTCCTTGCTTGCCCGTCACCTGCCTGCCACATGTTTCTTTATCCTCCTAGGCCGACCTATTCTATTTACGCGTTAATGTGTTTATACTTCATTTATGCGTTTTTAAGCTTATATGTTTATTCGTTTATGTTTATATGCTTATGGCTTCACCCGCTTTCTTTACCTAGCCCCCTTGTACCTCGTTCTTTCCTATTGCATTTTACCGTTTGCCGTTCTTTCTTTGCCTCTCCCCGTCCTCGCCGTTGTATCTTTTGTCGCTTGTCCTTCTTTCCCTAAGACCCCATCTGTTGCATCCCTAATATTCAGCTGCAAATAACATCTCACCTCGATGATTTCCGCGATTTATCGTCATGAGGCCCTTCCGCCCGCGCAGGGTCCGCCAAGTTTGGGAAGTCCCGAGATCGCGCGGTCCGCGAGATCGCGAGAAGCCGCGAGATCGCAGCATCCGCGAGCCCGCGGTAATCGCGCGATCCCATTAAATTAAATTAAATTAAATTGCTAAAACTCGAGGACAGATACTGTTCCTTTATGTGCGTCAATGCCCATTGCAGTGAGAACCGCAAGTCCGCG